AGCTGGTTGAGAGAATGCCAAGAGTATGCAACGCTGTCATTAAGGTAAAGGGTGGCTACTTTGAAGAATCTCAAATAAATCTCAAATAAAACACTTTTGTGGTTACTACATGATTCCATATGTGTTATTTCATAGTTTTGATGTCTTCACTATTATTCTACAATGTAGAAAATAAAGAAAAACCCTGGAATGAGTAGGTGTGTCCAAACTTTGACTGGTACTGTATGTGGGAAGAGAAGGGGAGAGGGATAGATGAGATGAAGGGAGGAAAAGGACTGATTAGTAATGATATAGCAGAGGGAGTGGAGGGGGATGTAGGAGGAGAGGGAGCAGAGAGGGAGAGCAAGATGGAAGGAAAGACTTATCTTCTCAGACTCAACAGACAAAGAAAGTACCTCACCCTATCACTTTCCACTTCCTCTGTTGTCTTACTTTTCTCTTTCTGTAACTCTCTTTCCCTTTCCATTCTCAGTCTCTCTCCCTTTTGTTCTCCCTCCTCTTTTTTGTCTCCTTCATTCTCTCTTTACATCTCTCCCTCCATCCTCCTTTCTACCACTTCCTTCCTTCTTCCCCTCCCCTCCCTATCCCTCTCTCTCTCTCTTTTCCTCCCTCCCCCTGTCTCTCTCTCTGTCTATGGTAGCCAGCTGGCAGGCTGTGAGTATCTGCGTGGTACAGGCCAGGGGCAGCTGAGCATGGCTAAACTGCAGTGAGATCGCAGTGCCACTGCAGAGATTACACTACTCACTGCTACCGCAGTGTTGTAGAGTGCTGTGGGGTGGGAGAGCGTGTAAGTGTGTGTAGTGTGTGTGTGTGGGGGGGGGGGCGCTCTTATCGAGCACTCATTGTATCAAAATACTTCACGCCTATCTGTTCATTACCCTTAATGCAAGGGAGCTTAGAAGCATTACTTAGCTGAAAGAGTCATTCCATTGTGCTTGCACCCCTGGCCCCAAGATAAGTATACTTTCATAAAGATTTCATTGAAATCTTTGCTACCCCCACCAACCAAAAATATGACAAAGAGACCCAATCTTTTTTCTGCAGAGGTGGTGGTTTCCTTACAGCAAAAGCGGGGGCATGAATCCCATCAAGCCTGACCTGATGTAGTACAAATGTGATTACACGTTGCTCAGTGTAAAGGAGCTGAACAGAAGAGAGGAGAGGAGGGGAAAGGAAAGAAGAAGAAAGATATAGGAAAGAAGATAGGAAAGGAGAGGAGAGGAGGACACAAGCAGAGCAAGAAGAGCAGGGAGAGATCAGCACAGTGGGAAAGAAAGCGGAGAAGAAATAAAAGAAGATCAGAAGAGAGGAGAAAAGAGAGGAGAGGGAAAGAGAGAGTATGAAAACAGTAAAAATAAGTAAATACAGGGAATCGACACACCGTTGTTTACAGTGACAGAGTTTGCTCCAGACAGGCATGCCGTACGCCCCTATATGCAGTATGAATAAAACAGGGCAAGCGTTTTGTTTGGCGCTGAAACAGTTTGCCCCTCTAAGAGTGAAGAGCATCAAAGCGTGAAATCGGAAAAGAGACCATGATGCAGCTGAGTGCTCTCACTACTCTTAGGGGGCTCCTCAGGATCTGACAGCACAAAAAACACCAACACCCACGCCCCCCCCCCCTCTATATCTCTTCTCTCTCTATCTCTCTCTCTCTCTCTTCATTCTCTCTCTCTCTCTCTCTCTCTCTCTCTCTCTTCTCTCTCTCTCCTCACACTTCTCACTCTCACACACTTTCTGGAACTCCCTTTCCTCTCTCTTGCTTTCTCTTTCTTTATCTCTCACTCTCTTATTCTTCACTCCTTTCATATTTTTCCGAACTTCTCTCCCTCGTTCTCCTCTCACTATCCTAATTTTCTCTGCCCTTTTCTATTTGCTTATATCCTTCTCCTTCTCTATTTGCTATTTTCTCCTCCCCTTTACTATTCTTATTTTATTATCTCTCTCTTTTTGCCCTTCATTGTCAAGTTTACAAGATCTCAGGAGCTGCTGAATCATGATACTTAACTGGGTGTATGTGTGTGTTCTGCCGCGCTGTTCAGCTCCAGCACCTCTACCTTTATGGTTTGTGTCGTGGTGTGTGTCTGACTGTTTGCTGAATATTTCGGTGTTTTGGAGATGTGTTTTGACATATCTATGCTTTGGGACAGTTGTGTCTGAGAATTCTGATGCAGGGTGTTTTTTATGGGACGATGTAGAGTTTCATTGCCATGCAGTTAACCAGTCCCAATAAAAATACAGTATATTCGCTTCACTTTTGGGACCAGCAGCATCCCACCCTGCATCCCACTGCTGGCTAGCCTCAGAAGCTAAGCAGGGTTGGTCCTGGTCAGTCCCTGGATGGGAGACCAGATGTTGCTGGAAGTGGTGTTGGAGGGCCAATTGGAGGCACTCTTTCCTCTGGTCTAAAAAACATATCCCAGAGTAGTGTGTCTGTTTTGCTGTCAAAGATTCAGCCTCGTTGCACCCTGTTGAGAAAACACAATCACCCAGACAGTCATGTTGTTTCAGAGAGACCCTCTTCTATCACCACCTCCTGCTTGGCCACAGATCACCTCATCATCACAACTCTCCTCTCTCACAGCTTCTCAACCCTCCAGGGAATAGAAACACACTTTCACCCTGCCATTCCCCAGCTGTTCTACCAATCTCTCCCTCCACCAGCCTTCTGGGCCATAGCCTATAGAACTAGACGTTTTACACGTGAATAGACTCAGACACCCAGGCTTTGCTCACATGGTTTCTATACGGAAGGTGAGGTGAAAGCCTGTGACAGAGGATAACATGAAATGACTTGACCCTCTGTTGGCCTGCAGCTTTGAATGAAGCTGCATTCACACACAGCCAAGCTAAATCAACACAACAACAACTATCAGCGGTTGATAGTGCAGGAGCCCCCCCCTACCCCCCATCTCTCTCCAATGTCCCCTCTCTCTCGCATCCCATCCAGTGAATCAGCCATGACAGGACAGGGAGTGGCTACAGATAATGGGGAGCACTGAGCCACTCTGACAAATGGGCTGTCTGTCTCTAGGCTGGCCTTAACTGAAGGGTGAATGTCTATTTGGCCATATCTATTCCTGTATGTCATTTAGACTAGCAGTACTGTATGTATTTAGTAACCATGTGTAATATGTGTAGAATGAACATTTCTATATGCACTAGTATTATACTCCTTAGAAAGTGCTCTGTCAACTGCTGATCCCTTCTGCAGAACAGTTTGAGCAGCCTAATAATTGCTTGGGTTCTACGGGAGCAAACTAACGCCTAGCAAAGTGCCTGGTCATAAAAAGAGGAGCAGGGGGAGTGGGACTATAGTCTGTAGACTAGAAGCTGCACAGTTAAAGAGAAATATATTGTCTGAAGTCATACAGCTTTTATGGGTACTTGTGTGGCTGAATAGCATATAGAGGATGCTAGCATATAAATATAGGTTTTGCAGAATCAGTACAGCACTCAACCATGTGTAGCTGGCTAAATGCTTCTAGACAGTTGGTGAATGGGACGCTAGAGTATTTCAACCTAGTGATACTGTAGATGTCTTTCCCCCCGTGATTCACATGAGTTCCTGGCGCCAGTGCTGAGATAATCACACCCTCAGATGCTGTGCAGTAAAACACACAGCAATCAATACATGAATGAGGTAATTGGACATCCTCTAGGGGCTATTAGACAGTATGATCATGGTTCAACTGTTTCACTGTTTTATAAGATATCTATAAGGCTCCTCTCCATCATTTTGAGCCAGAAGGGTTATTTGCGGGGGAAAGGGTTCTTCCTAGAACCATAAAGAGTTCCCTTATGGGTAGGGCTGGGAATTGCTAGGGACCTCATCATACAATATTATCACGATACTTAGGTGCCGACATGATATGAATTGCGATTCTCACAATTCTAGAAGTATTACGATTAGATACCATGATTTTATTGAAAATTGATGTTCCAAACATATTGCATATATGTCTGCTGCAGAGAGACAAGAGAGAGCATGAGAAAATGAGTTTTGATCAGTCATGGAGTAAAAGTGCTGAAAACATGTTGGCTCACTATTAAAGAAGATGGAGAACAAGCTATATGATACAGGTACAGCCGACTAGCGCTAGCTAACGCTAACTAGCAAAAAATAAATGTACATATTTATAAATTTTTTACAAATCAATACTTTGTCAAAGTATCAATATTATATCGTCCAAAAAACAATAAGCGATATGTAACTGTATAGATTTTTTGATTCTGTAATGGCTGGCTTCAGGGCTGTTTCAAGATGGCCGAATGGCTTGCTGACTCTCCCCAAATCCTAATCTCAACCATTAGATCATAAGAAATTACCTCAGATCAGTGACTACGGCAAAGTGTGAATGACCCCAGTTTGACCCCTGCAGTAAGAGAGTTAAGTCAGATCCCCATCTATCCACAACAGTGGGGAGATGAGACCTGAATTAAGTCATAAAACAAATGAGGTGTATCTTGCTATACCCTGAATTGAAATGATTTGGACCAGACATCATCGCCTCAGGCTAAATTGTATCACACCATGTGTAATCAGAATATGGCCTAATCTATCTGCAATCTGTTGTTTATTGTCATAGCGACTGACATCTAGAATACAAATGACAGTGCTATTGTAATGAGAGAGCTATCCTTTTGACTCCATTTTCTGTTTACTCGTCGGTATATCTGTTCATATGTCGGTTTCTTATGAAAAATTAAGTATTTAGATGGTGTCTGAGTCCTCTTAAGGAATCATGTTTGACGAAAAAGCATCTTTATACCAGTCTCTTGACCAGGTTTTCACAGCATTCATTCTATCAATGCATGAAATAATTAAATCCTAGAAAGATTCAAAATGGATTTGTAGGCCATACCAGGACTATGGCTAAAGGTGGGTACTGTGAAGACTTGAGAAGATTAATATCTTCCTTAGATTAGAGAAGAGCAGGGTACAGTAACAGTACTTTGGCATTAATAATAGAGAACAATGTCTCACAGTGTTCCAGTCAATGACCAAGATCATGATCATCAGTGGGTGAAATCGATGCTGTTTTGTTGGAAGATTGATTCCTCTCCAGATGAGAGAGATTAAAGGGGAGCAGAGATAATGTCACCCTGTACAATGCCTTCAGAAAGTATTCACACCCCTTGACTTTTTACACATTTTGTTGTGTTACAGCATGAATTTAAAATGGATTAAATTGAGATTTTGTGTCACTGATCTAAACAATATACCCCATAATGTCAAAGTGGAATTATGTATTTAGAAATGTTTACAAATTAATAAAAAATGAAAAGCGGAAATGTCTTGAGTCAATAAGTATTCAACCCTTTTGTTATGGCAAGCCTAAATAAGTGGTCCTCTGTAGCTCAGCTGGTAGAGCACAGCGCTTGTAACGCCAAGGTAGTGGGTTCGATCCCCGGGACCACCCATACACAAAAATGTATGCACGCATGACTGTAAGTCGCTTTGGATAAAAGCGTCTGCTAAATGGCATATTATATTATTATTATTATTATTATTATAAGTTCAGGAGTAAAAATGAGCTTAACATGTCACATAATAAGTTGCATGGACTCACTCTGTGTGCAATAATAGTGTTTAACCTCTTAAGGATCTGACCTTTTTTTCAATTTTCACCTAAAATGACATACCCAAATCTAACTGCCTGTAGCTCAGGACCAAGGATATGCATATTCTTGATACCATTTGAAAGGAAACACTTTGAAGTTTGTGGAAATGTGAAATAAATGTAGGAGAATATAACACATTAGATCTGGTAAAAGATAATACAAAAACAAATGTGTTATTTTTTACATCATCTTTGAAATGCAAGAGAAAAGCTACAATATAATATTGCAGTTTAGGCGCAATTTAGATTTTGGCCACATTCTTCATCCCATTGATTCATGTTACACTAGTGGGTCCAGGTCTATTCCATTCTGTATTTACTCATCACATCACAGTGGGAGTGAGAATGGGCTGTGTTTTACGGTAGGGACTTCATCCCATAAATCTTAGTTATATTGTATAACTCCTTATCATTCTGACACGTAACAGGAATGTAATAGTTCTTGGTGAAACTATGTATGAAGTGTTCCCTTGGGATGTGCAAATAATTAAACACAAACTGAAAGAAAAGTGGAATCTACAGTATAATTTGGGTTATGGTTGGGGCAGCAAGGCAAGAGAGATACTTTGTTATTCCTGCATGAGATATGGTTTTAACAGTCAAAAGATGACATGATAGAGCAGGATTTATCAAGTTGTTATTCTACCAAGCCATCTCCACTCTCAGGAGAAGTGGAATTTATTATACAACACAGAGTCATTCAACAGATTTGGTGATTACATTTTCCTATTGATGAACGATCATCGGCACTAATGGGCCTTCATGCTGCTCCATACTTTACTGTGACAATCTTATACCCTTTACTTTAGCAGCTAGAGCCCACGGAGTGGCCATCAATCCTAATGGTTGAGTCCCAAATGGCACCCTGTTCCATAGATAGTGCACTACTTTTGACCAGAGCCGTAAGGGCCCTGGTCAAAAGTAGTGCACTAGAAAGGGAATAAGGTGCCATTTAGGAAGCACAAAATGTCTCCTGGCAGCAATGTGACGTCAGTTAGAGAGGGACTAGAGGTGATTATGACATTGCATATTAAAATAGCATGGGATATATATAAAATAAATGTACCAGTAATGTCCACTGTGTTCTGCTGAAGATGATGTGAATCTACCATTAAGATTAGCTTTAAGAGTTATCCACCAGTAAACAACTCTTATCTACACAGTCAAATTCACACAGTATTTGTTGATTTGTTTGAAGGGCCGAAGACAATTGGTTTGATAATTGCTTTGTGCTGTGAAATAGATATGGTTTAAATCTAAAGTCTCTCTCTGTCTCTTTATCTCTCTCTTTATCTCTCTCTCTCTCTCTCTCTCTCTCTCTCTCTCTCTCTCTCTCTCTCTCTCTCTCTCTCTCTCTCTCTCTCTCTCTCTCTCTCTCTCTGCAGGCAGTATTGTGTACCTGGGAATGATGGTGGGGGCGTTCTTCTGGGGGGGCATGTCGGACAAGGTGGGCCGCAGACAGTGTCTGCTCATCTGCATGTGTGTGAACGGCTTCTTCGCCTTCCTGTCCTCCTTCGTTCAGGGTTACGGCATCTTCCTGCTCTGCCGCGTGATCGCAGGCTTCGGGTGAGTTTGTCTGACTGGGGTTACAATGGCAAGCAACATCAATGTGTTATTTTTCTTAAAGAATGGGGTACTGAATTATCATAATAATCCACACTAAACAAACAATTAGAAAAGCGAATTCCAAATTATACTGGAGATTAAAACATTTATTGTGAGTTGTGACATGAACAAGAGACTAATGACACTTGACTCAGTTTGGTCCAATTTACATAGCTAGCTACAACCATGATGAATCCTTTCAACTTCTTCATCAAATGGCCCTGCAGTTCTATGTCGTTAACTCCTTCATTCCCATAGAGACTGCTTTTCACAGTAGATAGTCATGAATTCATTATCTTTTGTTGTAAATAATCTCTTTTGGTTTCTTGAATGAATATCCAGTTGTAGACCCCTCTGTTAACATAGACTAACTCTGATATTTCACCCACGTAAACCCTAAAGGTTTTACTCACTCCTATCTATATCCAAAATAATAATAATGTGTGACTAGTAGTGAATGTGTCAATCACTCTCCTGTCAGTATGGCAGTATGCACCTAACATCCATCATGAAAGTATTTAGTTTAGACCAACTAGGCTATATCAGTGATAACAGGGGATTTAATATAGGGGATGTGAGTATTTTGTAAACATGTCTGTGCATCTTCTACTTGGAGTGGATTAATGCTTTTAACATTGCTGGTAAAATGCTTTACAAGTCTCAAAAACAAAACAATTAGCCGAAAATAATTCCTCTCATTCGTCAAATTCATTTTAAAACAAAGAAAAAGTGCACAAGAATTATAAAAGCAATATCTCAACAAACAACATTCAGTCCTTTCTTTCAGTCTTGCACTCTCTGATTCTGGTGTCTCATTCAATCAGAGGTTTCCCCTGGCTTGACAAATCCTAGGGATGTTTCCTTAGCCATCACCATCGTCATGCCACACTGGCTTTTGGTCTGCATTTAGTGAAAGGCTCTGTGACAAATGATTGTCTGAAATGTGCTACTGGGGCAGTTAAAGGCAGCTTTATGATGGACAAGTGACATTTTATTTGGAAACTACTGTACTAGCCCCATACAACCTTCCTGATCTCGTGAGCTTACTTTCTATTTCGCTACACAATGAAAGGAAACCAAAGCGCAGCAGTCAGGATAGTGGATCAGGCTACTACTTTACAGCCCCATTTCTGAATGTCCATATTGTTATTCACTGGCTGCATGGCCTCTAGCCTCACATGTCTAGGAATGGTAAGAATAGAACATTGATTTATAGAGAGAAATCATTGGAGGGGTGTAACGGTCCCTGTCAAGAGCTAATTTACTAATTGCATCCCGCCCCTCTCCCCAGAGGGACTCAATGTAATTGAAAAGGCTTGCCAGCCAAACTGCCTTCTGTTGGAGTCATGGAGGACTGGCTCCAAGCCTAATGGTTAACTGGAAAGCCAAGGAAATGCCCTTTTGGCAAAGTTGGCTTATTTTGAGGAACATTGTTACAGTATTTGTTTCTATTGTCTACTTTTACAGTAGTAAAAACTGTTCCAGCTGCGTCACATCTGAAAAATACAAAAGGTTCCTCAGAGAAAATAGAGGCGCCACTAAATCTTTTTTTAAATAACAAAATAACAACCGTTTTTTTGTTGTTGCAGCAATGTACTATAGTTATAGTTAATTTACATGGGTCAAATAATTTGTAGGTGTTAAGAAAATGTTACCTTCCGCAGAATCCGTGTGGCTCTACTCGTTGTCCTATGGCATGTCATCTTCTGGTGCATTGCGCCACCAAGTAATCAAGCAACTCATTGTCCTGTCCTTGTCTCCTTCAGAACAGGGGGAGTTGTACCCATAGTCTTCTCCTTATTTGCGGAGGTGCTGTCCAGAGAGAAGAGAGGGGAGCACCTGAGCTGGCTCTGCATGTTCTGGATGATTGGAGAGATCTATGCTTCAGCCATGGCCTGGGCCATTATACCACACTACGGTGAGTAGTACACTGTAATACCACACTACATTGAGTAGTCCACTGTAATACCACACTACATTGAGTAGTACACTGTAATACCACACTACATTGAGTAGTCCACTGTAATACCACACTACATTGAGTAGTACACTGTAATACCACACTACATTGAGTAGTACACTGTTATACCACACTACATTGAGTAGTACACTGTTATACCACACTACATTGAGTAGTACACTGTAATACCACACTACATTGAGTAGTACACTGTAATACCACACTACATTGAGTAGTACACTGTAATACCACACTACTGCACTACGGTGAATCACCAGGACTAGTTATAATAATAATAATATGCCATTTAGCAGACTCACACAGACAGAATGAACACATCATAGGCATTTTAGTAACAAAACCTTCTTGGTTAGATGGTTATGATGCCCCTGAATGTGGTAGAATTGTTTGACATTGTATAGTTTGCAAAGTAGCAAAAAAATCTACAAATGGGACACAAATGTTAAAACTTACTGCACAAATCCAGGTTGGCAGAGTATAACCAGCGGATGTGAACGTTTAGCTGTAACCGTGGGTGAAGGTGCCAGTTTGCCCTGCTGGCACATGAACTAATGTAATCTAAGTGGCTGCAGACTGGGAGAGGGACAGTTTAAGTGATTAATGTAGGCCTGGAAACCATGGGGATACACACACAGGCACACATAGGGATATTTAAAGGATGAAGTCGTGCCAGTGGGAGATAGAAGGCTGTGATTTACGACTGCTACACTGGAAACAAGCTGCACTCATCAATAAAGAAAAGAAGGGAAAGGCTTGAAAATGTTATTTCCTCTCTCTCTTCCTCACACTATATACATCTCTCTACACCCGTCTCTCTCTCTGAGCCTATTTCTCTCTGTTCATCTTCTCTTTCCCTCTCACTCTTATTTCTGTCCCTCTCTTTCCTCCCCCTCTTTCGCTGTCTCCCAATGTCTCTTCCAACCACCTCTTACTGTCCCTCCCTCTCCCTCCTCTCCTTCTCTCTGTCTGGGAATGTTCTTCTTGATCAAGCATAATTAGGTTTTTCTTCTTGCTCCAACTTAATGGGACAAAGCTACAGCTATCCATGATTTATGGTGGAGTGGTGTTTTAGTCCAGCCCTGGGTGACGTCAGTGATTTATGGTGAGTGTGTTTTAGTCCAGCCCTGGGTGACGTCAGTGATTTATGGTGGAGTGGTGTTTTAGTCCAGCCCTGGGTGACGTCAGTGATTTATGGTGGGGAGTGTTTTAGTCCAGCCCTGGGTGACGTCAGTGATTTATGGTGGAGTGTGTTTAGTCCAGCCCTGGGTGACGTCAGTGATTTATGGTGGAGTGGTGTTTTAGTCCAGCCCTGGGTGACGTCAGTGATTTATGGTGGAGTGGTGTTTTAGTCCAGCCCTGGGTGACGTCAGTGATTTATGGTGGAGTGGTGTTTTAGTCCAGCCCTGGGTGACGTCAGTGATTTATGGTGGAGTGGTTGTTTTAGTCCAGCCCTGGGTGACGTCAGTGATTTATGGTGGAGTGGTGTTTTAGTCCAGCCCTGGGTGACGTCAGTGATTTATGGTGGAGTGGTGTTTTTAGTCCAGCCCTGGGTGACGTCAGTGATTTATGGTGGAGTGGTGTTTTAGTCCAGCCCTGGGTGACGTCAGTGATTTATGGTGGAGTGGTGTTTTAGTCCAGCCCTGGGTGACGTCAGTGATTTATGGTGGAGTGGTGTTTTAGTCCAGCCCTGGGTGACGTCAGTAGAGGGGTTTGTATGGTGACCATGGAGGGTATTTTAGTCAGCCTGGGGACGCATGATTATGGTGGAGTGTGTTTTGTCCAGCCCTGGTGACGTCATGATTATGGTGAGTCGTGTTATTAGTCCACACAGGTGACGTCAGTGATTTATGGATGGAGTGCGTGTTTTAGTCCAGCCCTGGGTGACGTCAGTGATTATGGTGGAGGTGTTTAGTCCAGCACCTGGGGACGTCAGTGATTAGGTGGAGTTGTTAGTCCAGCCTGGTGACGTCAGGATATGGTGGAGTGTTTAGTCAGCCTGGTGACGTCAGTGATTATGGTGGAGCTGTGTTTTAGTCCAGCCCTGGTGACGTCAGTGATTTTTATGTGGAGTGGTGTTTAGTCAGCCCTGGGTGCGTCAGTGATTATGTGGATCGGTTTGTACCAGCCCGGTGACTCAGTGTTTATGTGCAGTCGTGTTTATAGTCCAGCCCTGGTGACGTCAGTGATTTATGGTGGATGTTTTAGTCCAGCCCTGTGACGTCAGTGATTTCATGGTGGAGTGTGTTTTAGTCCAGCCTGGGTGAGTCAGTGATTTATGGTGGAGTGGTGTTTTAGTCCAGCCCTGGGTGACGTCAGTGATTTATGGTGGAGTCGTGTTTAGTCCAGCCCTGGGTTGACGTCAGTGATTTATGGTGGAGTCGTGTGTTTTAGTCCAGCCCTGGGTGACGTCAGTGATTTATGGTGGAGTGGTGTTTTAGTCCAGCCCTGGGTGACGTCAGTGATTTATGGTGGAGTGGTGTTTTAGTCCAGCCCTGGGTGACGTCAGTGATTTATGGTGGAGTGGTGTTTTAGTCCAGCCCTGGGTGACGTCAGTGATTTATGGTGGAGTCGTGTTTTAGTCCAGCCCTGGGTGACGTCAGTGAGGGGCTTCTGAAAAGGCAGCATGGAGGATATTTCACTGTGCCGGCCGCGCTGAGCCACTGAAACGCCTGTTTGTACAAATACTGACTGCACTGTAGATATTGAAGGCAATGATACGTGAAACAGTGGGGGTTCATTTAAGATTTCAGATCATTGAGCTGCTTTTAGGAAAATCCACTGTTTCTCTCTATTGTGCAGCGTCTATAGAGGAGGGCTACACACACACAAACACACACACACACACACACACACACACACACAATCTGATAAACCTAGCGAGTCTCACTGAGAAAGCTCTGCTGTCAGGTCTGCAGATATCTCTTTGAAGGCATGGTAGTAAACCCACTCTGCTCTCATTCTTCCTGACACACACTCTCTCTTTCCTCTCTCACTCTACCTCTCTCCATATCCCCTCTCTTTCTATGCTTTATCTCCCTCCCCTTTATCTCCCCCCCCTCTCTCCCTCCCCCTCTCTCTCAGCGTGCCTTGCATACTCCAGCACTTTTGGATGGTTTTTATGTTCTCTCAAACTGCCGCAGTGCCCGCCAACAGCGATATGGCCGAGGAGCCTGAGGAGTAGTCTTTTGTCTAATACAGAAACAGATAATGATGGATTACCACACATCTACCACCTCATTGGTGTTTAATACTCCATTAAAGCTCTTTATACACCTCCTCATTTGTCTTCAACACTCTGCAGCTCCTAATGTCTTCTAAAGCCCCATGACAAAGACACAGATGGAGACCCCAGAAGCCTGAAACCTGAATCAGCCTGCAGAGATCTCTGTCATACTGCAGCCTTTAGTTACACAACTAGTGCTCTGGTAGGAGGTAGACATTGTCTGTGTCCTAAATGGACACCCTATTCCCTTTAGTGCACTACTTTTGACCAGAGCCCTATGGGGGCTCCCTACAGGTCCTGGTCAAAGGTAGTGCACTAGGAAATAGAGGGGATGAAGACAATCTCACTCTGTATCAACTTCAACATATTCTATGATATAACACCTTTATAATATGGAAGTTATAATCACATGACCTTGTTATTACATGCCATGACTGTTAATATGAACCACACCTTTTACTTATGGTAAATTACATAATGCTGTGGGAATGCATGAAAGTTGCTATGAACTGTTATGGCTTGTTATGACAGGTTCATATTGACATCCATATGAAGGCAATGCACTTAATCAACATTTTGGATAGAAAATTGTCTTGAAAAAGACTGCAGTGTGCCTCCTGCAGATGTTTTTCAGGTTCACTTTCTTCAGCCAATGGAGACAGACAGAGGGAACAGCAAGGAGGCATTCTTTGATTTCCCATTAAGGAGGGAGAGTTTGAAGACAGAGCGAGAGAGCTACACACTCCTGTTGTTCCCAGCTGTTACACTTTCCCTCATTCCTAGTTCCTTTAAGAGCTGCCTCCTCATGATTGCGGTCAGTCGATTCGTTTTCATGCTGATATTTGGAATCTCTCTCTCTCTCTCTCTCTCTCTCTCTCTCTCTCTCTCACACTGCATCCATACACTTAGTCAATTATGTACATAATCCCATAATGACAGCCTTTCTTCCTGCTTTGAACATAGTTGGCTTGATTTCCACAGTGGTTGATAAGCGGTGGTATCAATCTGCCATTAGATTAATTTCTAGCAGTAATTTCCTTGCAATAACATTAACATCCCACCCACCTCCTCACTTCCCACTCCTGTTGATGGATAATGGTGTTATTCCCTCAAATCGTGTTCAAACGGAAAAGGCATGATCCAGAGGAAGAGACATGGGAGGTCACGACTAACATGACAAACACCCCTCTTCTCCCTCCTTCCCCAAATAGGAACAGGGAACATAAGCACACACACACATTGCATTAACCCTCTTACACCAACGTACACCCACACACAGAAGGTTTTCAGTAAGAATATACCTCCTCATTGTTTTGGATTCACCCTGTTACTGTAGTTCTCAGCTACAGTGTTCATAGTGTACATACCGCATGTGGATTTGTGTTAATTCTGCTTCTATTACGTTGTCTGTATATCCTGCTTATCGTCTGAATATCCTGTTTATCGTCTGTCTGTATATCCTGCTTATCGTCTGTCTGTATATCCTGCTTATCGTCTGTCTGTATATCCTGTTTATCATCTGTCTGTATATCCTGCTTATCATCTGTCTGTATATCATGCTTATCGTCTGTCTGTATATCCTGCTTATCGTCTGTATATCCTGCTTATCGTCTGTCTGTATATCCTGTTTATCATCTGTCTGTATATCATGCTTATCGTCTGTCTGTATATCCTGCTTATCGTCTGTATATCCTGCTTATCGTCTGTATATCCTGCTTATCGTCTGTATATCCTGTTTATTGTGGCAGCACCATTTCACCGAGTCAAATTCCAAATTCCTGTACATACAAATGTATTTGGCGAATAAAGGTGATTCTGAAAAGATTTTGACTTTCTCGATGTTCCATCACATTTTCAGTAAGATCCATTAAAGTGGGCAACAATTTATATATTTATAAACCATTTCACAGAATGTATGAAACATACATTTAAGGGTTTGAAGGGTTCTACTCTGCCTAAGGGAAAGCACCATGAAATTACAGTGCTGTACATGGGTAGTTCAGTGTTGAGGCTAAGATTATTTACATGGCTGTGTACTATTACAATGATTGAGGATAGATATAGTTGAAGGCTTTAGCAGCCGTTTCCAGCTCGAGGACATAATTAGTCCGGCACGTTCCTCTCCAATGGCGAAGGTGCATAAAGATGGAGGAATTCAGAGATTACATTGTTTTTACCACAGAGTTCTTAAACTACGGTGCACAACATGGTCCAATGTGTCAGTAAATTAGCACAATCTTGTTTTTAGTTTTTTCAAATTGCCGCCGTCTTGGAGCTAGAATTGGGATCATGTATACTGTGATAATGCCGATACAAAAAAAGAGTAACGAAGAGCAATGTACAATACGGCGAATATAGCAAACGAGGCATTTGTGGTAAGTACATGGGGACCGCCATCTTTATGCTCCTTCGCTATTGAATAGTCCAGAAAATGACTGTGCTGAGATGTGTCATTTAGAGAGGGGAAATGGAAATTGGTTGTGTGTGTGCGTGCGTGTGTTTATGTATGTGAGAATACGTGTGTGTATGCGTGTGTGTGTTGCTGCTATGAAGATTAATGGGACATAGTCTCTACCTGTGGGATGAGATCAGGTACAACATGATTTAAATGTCCTTTCCTTCCCTTTTCTTTGTGTGTTGCACTTCCCTCTGTGTGTGGTCTTCTGGAATGAACACCATATAAATTGTGCAAATAGAACAGATGTCACATCACCCAGGGAAGCAACAATCAGTTGACCACAAGTAACTTAAAAGACCCACTCCTGTGACATTTCTGAACTACTATGAATGGAGACCGAAAACAAGCTAAATACTGTATGAATTGAAAAATCTAAGCTCCCTCTCTTGAGAATATGACCATTATGTAAAATACGCTGATGTGTTCTCTTGTGTCTGATTGTTTGATGATGTATTGTGTGTGATTGGTTGCTGATGGGTTATCTTGTGTGTGATTGGTTGCAGGCTGGAGTTTCAGTATGGGTTCTGCCTACCAGTTCCACAGTTGGAGGGTGTTTGTGGTCGTCTGCGCCCTGCCCTGCGTCTGTGCTGTCGTGGCTCTCACCTTCATGCCCGAGAGCCCCAGGTTTTACTTAGAGGTAAAGTAAAGCATTATGGGAAATTGGGTTTTAGGGAGAATGTATGCCACTCACAGGCTATGTCAGTGTATGTGGGCATGCATGGACAGCTTTTCAATTAAATAGTTCCAGTTCTGAACAGTATAGGCAACTAATAGAATGTAGACCAATCCCAGATAGGCATATAGCCTAGTTAATCAGTTATTTAAGTCTGATGATAGTGCAAGGATTGGTTATCATTAGCCTAGGGCCCTATAGCATCTCTTTCCTCAGAAAACCATTGAACAGAGTGCATTATCCTAGGTTACTATCATGTTTAAGCGTGTTTGTGACAGGGGGTGCTGAAGAGTATTTATTTATAATAATGTGGGCCTGTGTCCACCCAGGCCCACACATGCCTATGCCCCTGGTTTGTGAAAGTTGGAAATGCTTTGTTCTTCAACAGAAAGGTCTATGTGGCAAACAGTGAGTCAGCCTATAGCTTCAGCAGCAGAGGCCTGGGCTACACATTGCACCCCATTTCGCATGTTTTGTCTGCGATGGCAAATAATAAGCTAATAATAAGCTAAAGGTCCATGACAGTATGCTACGCCTGTTACTGTAGGATAATAACCCTTTGAAGTAAAATGAGTCATCTTTGTCGTGACTCCTGTCATCTCAGCCCATCTCAGCCCATCTCCTCCTGTGTGAGCATGGCTGTCACGGAGGAGCGCTCCCGGTTCTCTCTCCATTAATCCCGTTAATTCCCCCCCGTTTCTCCTCCTGTCAGGTGGGGAAGCACGACGAGGCTTGGATGATCCTCAAACAGATCCATGACACCAACATGCGAGCGCGTGGGCAGCCGGAGAAAGTCTTCACCGTGAGTATTTTCCTGCCTCGGCTCATGCTTTCTCCTCACAGTAAAAAACTAATCGGTTTATAACCGCCAGCGCTGCGACATGTTTAAATCTGTGCGGAGGATCATATCTGTGATATGAAAAGGTTTTGTAAGGTATTTTGTGTCGTTCAAATACCCGATGCCCGAGGCGCGCCTGGAAACAGCACCCCAGTCAATCCACATTTAGAGCTTTACATTTGGAGTCAGATTTCCTGTCTCTGAAAGTGAACTAAAGCCCTTGCAAACCTCATGATATAACTAGCCTATATTTTCAGATGCAGGTTTTTGCTGCTAATGCAATAGCATAAGGGCTCAATAAATCTTGCATTGCAAAACTTGCCTATCAATTTGCCTAGCTTACCTTTTTCCATGGGAAAATCTAATTGCAATGCAGAATAGATGTGGATACTGTAAGAGAACCAGGTAAATTCCAATTCCTCAAGGTGCTTCCAGGGTCCAATGAATGGATGATACACCACAGGCACAGACCACCTTCCAGTTACATTTCTCCACCAGCAGTAGCCTACAAGAAAGAAACAGCATAAACATTACTTTTGATGTAATTATGTTTTTATTAAAAACTCAATTTCCCATAATTCCCATCCCAGGTGAACAGAATCAAGATCCCCAAGCATCTGGATGAGTTGGTGGAGATGAAATCAGAGTCGGGGAACCCAGTCTCCAAGGCCCTCTTCAGGTCCAAGACAGAGCTATGTGGGGTGGGTTCTCTCTGCCTCTCCTTCTGTTGGCTCGCTAGATGGTCATGATAGAAGTGGCAATATCCTGCACTGCACTCTCACAAATCATTATTGATGTGTCTCTCTTGTTTCTCCACACAGATATGGGTTAACTTTATGAAGTGTTTCGACTACCCTCTGAAAGAAAGCACTATCAAGCTAGCTATTGTGTGGTTTACGCTGTCATTTGGGTAAGCTTTTCATTGTAATGTTATAGGCTCCCACTCCCTCCCTCTCTCCTGATAGAAAGTTCTGGTTCTGCATTTAGAGATGTAGGAGTCAGAATAGGCTAACTTCCTTCGTCAGGAAATGGCATAGACTTTTGCGCTTGCAGCCACATTGCATTTCTGTCAGCTGTCCAATGCGGTAGCAGAGGTAGCAGCTCCCTGCTCTCAGGAGAACTACTGAATCAATATACTTTCATTGGCCTCTCCTCTGTGTGACAGGATGGGAATTCAAGCAGCCTGAGAAGAAAAAAAACCACTCCTGGAAACCCAACAGAAACGTTGTATTCTACCCCTATAGTTCCAATACATTTCAACTGTCTCCAATGTATAAACATCTATTTCTTTCCATTTGTTAACTGATATCCACTAAAGTGACTCCTTACGCCAAATTCCCTGTGGTATGTACATAAACTAACCTTTATGTTTGTGACGCCACTGTGTGTGTCTGTGGATGCAGGTACTACGGCCTGTCTGTGTGGTTCCCTGACGTCATCAAGCACCTCCAGGCAGATGACTACGCCTCCAAGGTGAAGATCCACAGCAACGAACGCATCGAGGACTTCACCTTCAATTTCACCCTGGAGAACCAGATCCACACCAATGGGGTCTTCATCAATGACAGGTAGGAAAGAAGGAGAAAACGCTTCCACATTAATGATGGACAAGCAGTTATAACTGCATCCTCAATGAAAATGGGACTTGTGGACTAAAATGGAGTATGGATGAAAATGTGAAATTACTATGGCGCTTTTATATTCATCTGGCATGTTGATTTATCTGCATTGTCTCTGTCAGCTATGAGATGAATAAACGTTGAATACAGAATAGCCAAGGATTTCTCTGTAAAATGAATTTGACATGTAGGCATTAGTAACTAACCAAGTCCACACATACACTTTCCTCTGTTGATCCTTCCAGATTTGTTAATATGAAGTTGAAGTCCATCACCTTCATTGACTCAACTTTCCGTAACTGCTACTTTGACGACGTGACGTCGGTGGGATCCTACTTCCGGAACTGTACCTTCTTCGAGGTGTTCTTCTACAACACTGGTAAGACAGACAAACAGAACCAGAAAGAGAACAAGAGCATTTCTGGGCCAACATGAAGAATCTAGATGGATCTTTGTCAGGCTTGACCTCTTCTCCTTTCTTTTGTACTTCCTTTTTTGTAAGGATATAGTGTCGATGGGCTGAAACATTTTCTCTAGGTATTGTCCTTTCTCAGCTATAGTCCTGTCTCAGTCATGCCTATATCCCTGTTTGTGATGGCAGACATCGATGACTCCAAACTGATAGACGGCACAGAGGTGATCAACAGTACGTTCCACCACAACAAGACGGGCTGTCAGATGACGTTTGACGACGACTACAGCGCCTACTGGGTCTACTTCATCAATTTCCTGGGAACTCTGGCTGTTCTACCTGGCAACATCGTCTCGGCACTGCTCATGGATAAAATCGGACGCCTTTCCATGTTAGGTATGTACGGGGATGTCACGTTGTATACTGATAGAAGACAGGCACAGGAATACGTAATGTTTTTTTTATTATTCAACCCAACATATGGTACATCATGGAAAACGACGTGGACGAAGCCCAAAACAAACACATATATATATATATATAACACAGGGCTGTAACCCAAACAAAAGAGCGATGTGTAAACCTTTAAATAATACACGGGACGAGACCTGTAATAACAAGTGCACTATTATTCGGCATGTAAACTGTAATACAATGTACTCACGAGACCAATGGACATGGGACAATAATAGACAAGGACAATGGGGAACAGAGGGCACATATATACACATACTAATCAGGGGGAATGGGAACCAGGTGTGCGTAATGAGACAAGACAGTCCGGGGTTGGTGGTAATGAACCAGGTCAGTGACGCCTAGAAGGCCGGTGACGTAGACCTCCGGAGCTGGTGAATGGAATGAGCAGCAGTACCGGGGGGATCCATGACAGGGGATAGTTTGCATAGTCCTTTCTGAGGGCTACCTTTGTTATGAGCACAACTGTAGTAGGGTGTTCAAATAAAAAAGTGTGTGTGTGTGTGTGTGTGTGTGTGTGTGTGTGTGTGTGTGCCTGCGTCTGTGTGTGTGTATGTGTGTGTGTCTGCGTTTGTGTGTGTGTATGTGTGTGTGTGTGTGTGTGTGTGTGTGTGCGTGCCTGCGTCTGTGTGTGTCTGTGTGTGTCTGCGTTTGTGTGTGTGTATGTGTGTGTGTGTGTGTGTGTGCCTGCGTCTGTGTGTGTCTGCGTTTGTGTGTGTGTGTGTGTGTGTGTGTGTGTGTGTGTGTGTGTGTGTGTGTGTGTGTGTGTGTGTGTGTGTGTGTGTGTGTGTGTGTGTGTGTGTGTATGTGTGTGTGTGGTAAAGGTGGCTCCATGGTTCTGTCAGGGATCAGTTGTTTCTTCCTGTGGTTCGGCACCAGTGAGTCGATGATGATCTTCATGCTGTGCCTTTACAACGGCCTGAGCATATCAGCCTGGAACTCACTGGACGTGGTCACCACAGAGTCCTTCCCTACAGACAGGAGGTATAGTTAGCAAGAAAATATAAATGATCCATTCCTATCTCCACACACAACAAGCATGAACAAATAAACAAACATACAAAACGCCTGTAAATCACTAAAATACATTCTAACCCCCCCCTCCCTCTGTCTCTCTCTCTCTCTCTGTCTCAGAGGGACGGGTTTTGGTTTCTGTAATGCTTTGTGTAAGCTGGCTGCAGTGTTGGGGAACATGATCTTTGGTTCTCTGGTTGGCATCACCAAGGGCATCCCCATCCTCCTGGCCTCATCTGTGCTGCTGTGTGGAGGCCTGGTGGGGCTCCGGCTGCCTGATACCAGGGCCAACGTCCTCATGTAGCCCCAGGAAGGACCACCTGGCCTGGGGAAGACCTGGGCCAAACCTGGTGCAAAGGGTTTGCTTTAAACATGTCCTATGGATGTTTGAGATTTTATTACTTTATTGCCGCTTGTGGTCTCATAGGGGGTTCAATTGCATAACCCCCCACCCCATATCGCTATGAAACAGTATATCTACTTTCAAGTTATCAATTTATTGATGTACAAGACACGACCCAAGCTCCAGACCCTCTGCATAATTCCCTGGTGACAAAGGGAAACTCCTATTTATTAGTGAATGTAATATTTGGGGATGTCACGACGCCCCTTCCAGGATGGTATGATGTCACTCTCAATATTTTCATGGTATTTCATCATGATATAATCATAATAGTTAGTGGTAGATATTTTAGTGAAGCTTGTGGTGAGCATTGTTCAGGGGAATGTATGGTTAGTTGTTTAGCTTTATGACTTATTGATGCCTGTGGATTATGTCCATCCATCCCCTTATAGTACTGGCTGTGAAAGGAACTAAGTGGGTCCTGTAGTTGGTTGAAGTAGAGTCTAGATTAGTGGTTTATATGTGAGAAGATATCAGTGTCAATGGCTGTCTGCTATGAGTTGGCTGGTGAAATCAGTTCTGAGTTAGTGCTATGTGAGTTATGTAGATGTCAGTAGCACCTGTTGCGTTGTACTGTATGAGTACACGCTTCCAGGCATGTTTGTCTGGAGTCATTGCAGGGGCAGGGTTAGTGCTGTAAATATGAATGTGTTCTTATTAGGCCAGGACAGATGGAGGAGAGAGGGGGAAACAAGCTGTTCTGAGCACAGCCACCCTGCAGTGGAAGAGAAGGGGGAATATATGATCAGAAAGACTAGAGACCACACAGCTGCAACACAGCTGGCCTAGACAGACAGACAGACAGACAGGTCATCCAGACAGACAGAACCAGAGAGAGAACAAGGGTATTTCTGGGCCATCGAGTGTAGATGGATCTTTGTCAGGCTTGACGTGTTCTCACATAATGTTTCACTTGTATGCACATACCCTGAACTGTCAACCATGGAGAGTCATGGTGATGGACATGTCGTAACCCACAGTAGCTGGTTTGAAGCTTCTCCCAGATAACATCTGAAACTATAATAACGTGCTTGTTGTCAGTTGTGGATATTTGTTTATTAGTTTACACTGACAGATGCATAAAGATGTGTTTTTATTACAGTGTTCTGCCCCACACTACCATAGTCATATATAAACACTCAATGTCAAAGCCCTTTGCACCAGCTCTCTACCCAAGAATAAAAAGGCCATATTGAATAACTTTAATTGTTGTTATTTGAAGTGTACATACTAAATGTATCTATGTTAATATGTATGTTATTTGCGGGTATGTATCTGCAGCTGTTCTAAATAATTTGTTGGGGAAAATGTAAGAATCCTATTTTGGTTTATATGTATCAACTCTTGTTCTCCACTTCTCCTATTTGTTGTATTGTAAGGTATTGTATGCAGGCTCTCAGATAGGGCTTTGTTTATGTTCAGCCTTTGATTTGGCGTTTCTCTTCGGCACTGACTTTATAATGACATGTCAGGCTGCTTCCTTTTCAAGATACTGAATGGCCTTTTTTTAAATGTGCCTCTTCTTCACCGGAGCGTTCTCCTCATAGACAACATAACAGGAGACTGAAGGGTACAGGAGGTAAACAGGAAGTTAACTCTCTCTGTGTATTTGTGTGTGTGTGTGTGTGTGTGTGTGTGTGTGTGCGATGTCCCTTCTCACTTCAGTCAACATTTTCAAGTACTCTACATTTACATTTTAGTCATTTAGCAGACACTCTTATCCAGAGCGACTTACAGTTAGTGAGTGCATGCATCTTCATACTGGCCCCCCGTGGGAAACGAACCCACAACCCTGGCGTTGCAAGTGCCATGCTCTACCAACTGAGCTACATCATCACATTGGTGTGACAGTGACGTGTAAAGGTACAACATCCAACCTATCAGTTTTAAAAAAGATGCCCTCCCCTCAGATGAAAGATAATATTCGTTTTAAACTGGATTGGAAAATATCAAATGTTATTTAGAGCAATAAGATATTTAGTAACTGCTTGCATAAGAGTGACCCCACTGGGCACATACGTAATTTAATTGAAATGACGTGGAAACAACGTTGATTCAACCAGTGTGTGCCCAGTGGGAGTGCAATTGCTTGCATATTTTAAGCAATGTTTAAAAAGTTTTACAACATTGAGTAAACTATTCCAGTGCTTGTTATAAAAAAATAAAAAATGTATTTTTCAAAAGGCTTTTTGCCAACTGTCTGTACACACAATTCAATACACAGCACATTTATAAATCTGTGCACTGTATAATGGCATTTCATTAGTGCTGTATACTGCATAACGTTTCATTCTGTAAATTGTCACCCAAAGTTGACAAATGCATCTGATGTTTATAAGGCATCCTGCAGATATCTGTTGGTGTTACTGTAAGCAGTATGATCACCAGACCTCATTCACAGGTCTACATCTCTACATGGCTCTTTAGTATTTTCTGTGGCTTACTGCCAGTGTAGCTCTCCTGTTCCTGTATGTGTTGTATCTGTGAGTATATTGTAGTGTTAGTAGCCCACTATATCAAAACTGCTGTCTGCTTGCCCCCTCCTCATTTATAAAGAAAAAGACAGGCTTCCAATAATGGGTGGTGTTAGCTTTACATCATCTTGGATATGTTAAAGTCTGTTTGCTGATTGTTTGTTTCTTGGTATGCACTACAAATGAACAACAGCTGACTTATTATTAACAGTTATTATGTATGTATGTTATGTGTGTGTGTGGGTGTGGGTGGGTGGTTTGGTTTCACTATCATTGTGGGGACCAGAAGTCCTCACAAGGATAGTAAAACAAGGAAAATTCGGACAGGTGGGGACATTTTGCCGGTCCCCACAAGGAAAGTTGCTATTTTAGGTTTAGGGATTAGGTTTAAGGATAGGAGTTAGGTTTAGGCTTAGTTTTAGGGTTAGGGGTTTGGGGTTAAGGTTAGCGTTAGGTTAAGGGTTAGGGAACATAGGATTTTGAATGGGAATAAATTGTTTGGTCCCCACAAGGATAGTAAAACAAACGTGTGTGTGTAAATATTGTATATCAACGCTGTAGTTGGTGGACTTCTGAGTTAAATCTGTATGCTTTTTGATTGACTGATGCGTCTCCAGCTTTGTTCAAGCGCTAAATCCATCTATCCATGTTGGACATCTGTGTGTCCTTGGCTTAAAGCCACATGGCCTCTGCTACTGTGTGTATGTACAAACTTGCATGTGTGTATGAAACTTCTCTTTTTTTGTGCTCAACTTTGTGTTCTTAATGTATTCTTCTACTAGAAGAAGAGAAAATATAGATTTTTGGAAGAAAGAAAAAAAGTGAATGTATCACTCTTGTCAGTTTTTGTTTGGCCATTTTTAAAAAGTGAACAATGGTGTGGGCTCAGATTAACAAAGGTGTTGGCTCAGATTAACACAGGTGTGGGCTCAGATTAACAAAGGTGTTGGCTCAGATTAACACAGGTGTGGGCTCAGATTAACAAAGATGTGTACATTATTGTGAAGGGCATGCCAATCGTGGGATGACTGTATGTACAGAGGTCTATAAATATGAAGCTGTATAGAGAAATATTTGCCAAATGATGCCCTGTGAATATTGTTTTAATTGAAGGGGAATGGCTGGAATTGCAAATAGTGCTGCTTATGAGCGTCAAGTATATGAAATAAAGATTTATGTTCTCTAGCAAATTCAATCATGTGTTCATTCAACTCCTGAGGATATAAAGCTTGAGTGCATTGCATCTTATATAGGTCTGCTGCAGGTAATTTTGGAGACAATATTATATCAGATAGAGTGCATGCAGACTGCAGAGCATTGGGCCAAAAACCTTATTACACTTCAATAATAATAGCTTTTGTTTAGCCCTGCACTCTCACAATCAGACCTCTAAGAATTGTATGAGTTACCTTGCCTTCAATGTTTGCAAGTCAGAATATATTATCAATTGTTGTCAGGAGTGAAAAATGCAGATTTTCAATTAGTATAGACTACTATAATTCCAGTCCTATAAAGTTGGAAAAGATGATGCGGCTGAACTAAAGTGAGGGCTTGTGGTATTAGTTTTAAAACAACAACACAAACAGCGACAATAAAGACATCAAAATGCTGTTCCACATTTCTATATTCATTGCCTTATTGTCGTAACTAGTGGGCATTATGCAAGCCAAGTAAAGTAATTACATCTACCCCGGGCTTTTCCCTTTTAATAAAAAAAACTAACATTCCAACAAAACTAACAGATAAAATGTAAAGTGACATTTTACGTGGAATTTGAAGTTCTAGCCTTCTCTCACACACACCCTGCAACACCAGGAACCGCTGGGACAGGATTGCTCTCACCGCAACGTCTGAAGCATCCACCTCCACAATGAATGGCAGGGACGGATCAGGATGCCCGAGGACCGGGGCCGATGTAAAGCGGTGGTTCAGCGCATCAAATGCATTCCCCGCTTCCGGGGTCCAGGCGAAGGAGCGCACGCTCGTCTGGGTGAGGGCTGTCAGGGGAGCTGCTAGGGAGCTAAAATTGCGAACCCTAAAAACCGCTGTAGTTGCTTGAGGGATGAGGGCTGGGGCCAATCCAGTACCGCGCTGACCTTGGCTGGGTCCATCTGTAGGTCCCCCTGGGTGACGATGAACCCCAGGAAGGAGACTGTCTCTGTGTGGAACATGCACTTCTCCGCCTTGACGTAGAGCTGGTGACGGAGAAGGCGTTGGAGGACCTGCCGAACATGCTGCTGGTGTTCACTCATGTCCTTTGAGAATATTAGGATGTTATCCAAATACACGAAGACGCTGTAGTCGAGGAGGTCCCGGAGCACGTCATTGACCAACGCCTGGAACACCGCAGGCGCGTTGGCTAGACCGAATGGCATGACTTGGTACTCGTAATGCCCACTGGGTGTGTTAAAAGCCGTCTTCCACTCGTCCCCCTCCTGAATCCTCACCAGGTTGTAGGCATTGTAAGTCCAGCTTGGTGAAGACCCGGGCTCCATGCAACGACTCGAATGCCGTCGTTATCAGGGGGAGTGGATAGCGGTTCTTAACCGTGATGTTGTTGAGCGCCCGGTAATCAATGCACGGCCGCTGCCCACCGTCCTTTTTCCCCACGAAGAAGAAGCCCGCGCCCGCAGGTGAGATAGAGGGACAGATGTGACCCTCGATGAGTGCCTCGTCGATATACTCCCTCATGGCCAGCGTATCCGGCCAGGACAAGGAAAACAATCGCCCTCGTGTGGGCATGGCGCCCGGCAGGAGATTGATAGCGCAGTCGTATGGCCTGTGAGGAGGTAGGCCCTTGGCATGCCTCTTACTAAACACCTCCCCCAGATCCCAATACTCCCAGGGAATGCCTGCCAGGTCTGGGCCGGTGACGGAGTCTGTAGCTGCCGTCCTCCCGGTGGCAACCGCCGCTAGCGCGGTATGTGGTTCGGAGTGGGGGACCTTGGGAAGAGGTGAGGACTGGTAGGTGGTCTGGGACGGTGGTTTGGGCTGATGAGTGGTCGGTGGAGACCGGAACAGGACGGGGCGGAGCCTCCCTCCAGGATGAGCAGCCCCGTGGACCAGTCTATCTGGGGTTTGTGGGTGACCAGCCAGGGGTGCCCGAGGACGAGGGGACACTCCGGAGAGTCCACAATGAAAAACTGGATATCCTCACATAGCCCCCCGCCACCCGGACACGCACGGGGACAGAGCGCCAGGTGATGAAGCCCGACCCCAACGGCCGGCCGTCCAGGCCCATGATCGGAACTGGCTCGGAGAGGGAGAGTAACGGAATCCTCCACCCTTGGGCCAGACCCGCATCCATCAGGTTTCCCGCGGCCCCAGAATCCACCA